TTTTTTTTAAATAAAAATAATTACAAACTTTAAGGTTTTTGTATAACTGTATACATGTATTATGTTACATTACATGTAATGGTAATCACTTGTCTTCAAAAAACTACAGTTATAAACATAATAATGAAATGATCTTCTCGGTTTACTTTTAAACTTGCAAATAAAACTTTGATTACTACTTCCTTCTTAAACGACTAAAAATGATAGATTGCTAAAAATAAAGGAACAAAATAGTTGAAATCCTAAGAAGGTAAGATAATGCATGAAATTGCACTTGGTTTAAAAAAATTTTGGTATATGGTTTATTAATTGTTTTTGATATCAATTAAATTATTTAGTGTAAGATAAATAAATTGGGGGTAATTATTTTATTTTAGTAATTCCTCGTTCAATCCATGTTTCATGTATTTTAAAAGAATTAGGTAAAAACGCTATATAAAAGGCAATGATTTTGTAATATTTTGACTTGAATAAAAATATTATAAAAATGAGTAGTAAAAAATAACATTTATATTGNTTTTTTACTTGCATGTTTCAAAGTGACTAGAGACAATACGCCAAAAAAAACGTAAGAATGAAGCGTCGCCAGACGACCACGAAGAGCTCAAGTGACTGTAGTGCCCGATGTCTCCATAAGACGGCGCATGTGTGAGCAAGCCGGGAATTTTGATTGCTCAAAGCTCACTTTCTTGACAGAGATGTAAGATCAGTTATTGAAGTACTGTACTGTTATTGATTTACGTATGTAAATGTGTATGTATAAGAAATGTAATAGTTCCATAATTTTTATTAAAAGCTGAATTTGTATGGATTGATTGACTGCTATGGTTGTAATTGCAAGGTTGTTCCGTCACGAAACAGAACTTCATGATTAGAATAAGACTTCGGGTTCAAGTTTAGAACCAATTGAAAGCCATTTATTCACGTAATTCAGTTTTAGGTTAAGAACAAAGTTGACGGTGATCACTGCTCGTTTGTCGGTATGGTTCTGCCCGTTTTTCAAAAAATAATTTTACTTATTATCTTTTGGTCGTCATAGCAACCAAAAATGAAAAAGAAGACAACCAAAAAAGAATCGCCTATCGGCCCATCGTCTGCGATTGAATCCCTCTGTGTTCGCTTGCTCCGTAGATCCCTTCTTTTATCGGTATCTTTAGCGGTGAAGGGAAAATAGCGTTCACGATCAACCCTTATTTGATTGATCGCAACGCGGCCTTGAAGAAACTACAACTGTTTACTTTATAAATAGACGACCCCTTTAATGATTAAAAAAACTAAATTAACAAACGAACATTAACAATTGTAAAATAATAACGTTCTCCCCCGTTCAAAATTCAATTTTGAACCTCAGCGAATTTAACTAGTTTTCTCGCTGGTCGTTAAAATTTTCCAAATGCTGTTTTTACTTTTGCGACTCAGACTTGTTTGTCTTTTCCTGGAAAAACGCGCGTAACTAAACCCTTCATCCGTTGATTTCGTTCAATTTTATCATCCAAAATTAATACTGTATCTCCTACTTTTATAGGATCTTCATCTTCAAGCCACTTTTTTCTCGGAATCAATGATGGAAGATACTCTCGCAACCACCTTTTCCAAAATAAATCAGTTGCCAGTTCACAAATTTTCCACTGTTTTCGCGAACAATGTGATGGACTATTATTTTTATTGAATTTAACCATGCCCGAAGAAAAACCTTTTAAAAAATGATTGGGTGTCAGTCCTTCATTGTCTCGTGGATCTAAAGAGACGTGTGTTAATGGTCTAGAGTTGACAGAATTTTCGATTTCAGTTAAAAGTGTTAAAAGTGTTTCTTCTCTCGGGCATTGTTCTTTCAAACTCGCATTAATAGCAATTTTCACTGATCTAATGAGTCGCTCCCACGCTCCCCCCATGTGCGGCGCAGAAGGTGGATTGAATTTCCAGTAAAACTTATTTCTTGCGGCGAACTCTTCGAGTTTTAATTTATGTGAGTATAATTCAATAATAGTGTCTTTCAATTCTTTACACATGCCCCTAAAATTCGTTCCATTATCTGAATAAATTACTGTTGGAGTACATCTTCGCGCTATAAATCTTTTAAACGCTCGAATCGCCGAATCTCATTTCTAAAGTTTTAATTATATCATTTGCATTCCCTCCAGCCACAAAAAGGGCTTTAGTAGCGTTACGAGCTTCTCCTTTTAAGGACTCAGAAAGTCTTACCACGTTTTCCTGATTGTTATAATTATTTTGTTGAGTTGTTACTTCATACGCTTGTTTAAATTCGCCCCAATCGAGCGGATCCCCGGAAAAAGATGGAAGTGGTTTGGCTGTTATCCTGCTTACTAAAGTTGTATTGTTCGATAAAATACTAGCATTTCTAATCGATACCAAAGTATCCTCAAGAACGTTTGCTAATCTCGCGATATCTCCACTCGATTGAGTCGAATGTGCGGTGCTGTAAAAACGATTTCGGGATGGTGAATTTAAGACCGCATTTTCGAAATTATTTCCGTTACTTAAATCGATATTGCCATTATCGTCAAAAGTTTCTATCGATGATGATTCATTTTCTGAACCCTGGTTTGAAATCGTTTCTCCAGATAAATAATCCTCAAACTCGTTCACAGGATCTTCTTCATCGTAAAGTTGATGCGGAGCTTGCAGTCGAGCTGCCGGAGGCGCAAGCTCGTGTAACAGTGGAGGTGCTGTATAACCTCGATGACGCGGCGCTCGAGGGCGGACTGCCGCTGCTGGTTGTGCAAGCTCTGGCGCAAAAGGAGGCTCGGGGGGCGCCGCGAGACCTCGACGGCGGGGTTCTCGAGGGCGAGCCGCCGCTGCTGCTAGAGGTGGCGGCGGAACTGCAAGATCAGCGACTTCCGCTGCTGGGCGTCGGTGCAGCGCTCAAGCGCGAACTGCCACAGCTGCAGGTGGCGGTGGAACTGCAAGATCAGCGACTTCCGCTGCTGGGCGTCGGCGCGGCGCTCGAGCGCGAACTGCTGCAGCTGCAGGAGGTGGCGGAGCCACAAGTTGAACTGCCTTGGCTGCAGGACGTCGGCGCAGCGCTCGCGCCTGGAGGTGTTCTAGTTGCGGGACGGCGGCAGGAGCTGCAGGACCCAAAATTGGAGCAGGGTTATGCAACTGCTGAGGAAACTGTCTTTGGAAAAGGACTGAAGCTGGGATCGGTGGTGGAAATAACGGCGCAACGTCCAACTCTGGGGTGTCAATTTCAGAGTTTTCTGAAGAATCCATCTCCTGGTGGTTAGATTTGTCTCGCAGACGAGCCCAAAAATCCGTGAGATTTGCGTCGGGATCCGAGTCTGAGAGTCTGTCTTCCTCTCCATCTAGACGCAGTCGTCTGAGCGGAGGTCCTCCCAAAGGAGAGTTATTTCTTCTCCTCATATCTCCTCATCTCTTTTGATTGATCGCAACGCGGCCTTGAAGAAACTACAACTGTTTACTTTATAAATAGACGACCCCTTTAATGATTAAAAAACTAAATTAACAAACGAACATTAACAATTGTAAAATAATAAGACAGTGTATCGGTCGGCTGCCGAAGAAGCAGTGGGGCTAGTGAGCGTCGCCAGACGACCACGAAGAGCTCAAGTGACTGTAGTGCCCGATGTCTCCATAAGGCGGCGCATGTGTGAGCAAGCCGGGANTACAACTGTTTACTTTATAAATAGACGACCCCTTTAATGATTAAGAAACTAAATTAACAAACGAACATTAACAATTGTAAAATAATAACAAAGGTTGTACATAAAGTATCTAAATAAAAAGATTATTTTTTTAATAAATTCATGTTTTTTTTTACTTGCATGTTTCAAAGTGACTAGAGACAATACGCCAAAAAAAACGTAAGAATGAAATATGAATTATAAGTACCTTTTTTAAATTTTTAAATTATATAAAAAAAATTTAAGAATCATGATGGGTTCTTACATAATCTGACTTGTAAACGTCACATTAGAAAGTAATAAAACTTAAATAGTCTGCAACCACATTATCATGTCTCTTAGCACCCTACTTATTTTGTCTTAATAATTTCTCATATTAAACCTATACTTGCTTTTTTCTTCATATGACAGTTGAGTCTCAAATTCGAAGAAAAAGAAATTTAATCTAAAAAAACACTTGGTTCTTGTACTTTTAAAACTTTTCCTGAAGTATAATTATTTTGTTACTTCACATACTTGTCAATATCAAAAATAATGCCATCAAGTTAAAATTATACTTTTGAATGTATGAATAAAATATGAATAATAATTTAAAAAAGACAAACTTACTATTCCTCCCTACATTAAACAAATAAATAATAACCCTAAATCCATCTACATATGTGACCGCCATATCTGTTTGCCAAATTTACCCTCATTTTTTCGAAAAATAATGTTCGGAGACTTTTTTATTTAAATTTTTTTTCGCAGTTCTACTCTTCATTTTGTCGTCAGATGATTCGTCGGTACAAAAAACTTTAAGTAAAATAAAATTCTACCATACTTTACGTTGTTTTTTTAATTCTCGGAGAATGCTTTTTTTGGCACTTCAAAACTGCTGCAAATATCGATTCGGCAAAATGACCCTCAACACAAAAGTTATAGGATGGCATCAGAGTTTAAAAGCTGCGGGAACTTTGTGATTTAGTTTACGACGATATTATGACCTCTTCATTCAACGTATTTTTTCTATGTCACCTGATAACTGTATGTATGTAAAATGCATAGATTTTAATGAACGTTAGTGTACCTGATTACATTAAATTAATGCTTGCAACAGTATCACTCTTAGAAGATCATGACATATATTTTTTGTAAAATACTTTTGAGGAAAAATGTTATGCATTTAAAATGTACTAAATATTATAACTTACCATAATCAGATTCGTAGATTTTCTTTTTCCGTTACTAAGAGTATGCACAATGAAAATATTTTTATTTTTTAATTACTTAATGTTTTAAACAGTTACTTTTATAAGACTCGTTTATTCAAAACTTCGTATACTTTCCAGGAGCGCTTGATGATTATCAACAGAGATGCACGTTCCAATAGCATATATTATTATAAGCGGCACTCGAAGCACTCCTTCAACTTTCTTGATCAAACGAATTTGCTATCTAAAGTGATGAAGTTTAGAAACTATAGAATAATTATGAAATTGTTGTGAATGTAAGGAAAAATGCTTTTCAGTTTCACTTCTTGATGTGGCAGTGGCTCTTCGTCATCTAAGACACATAGGTAAAATGAATCGTACTAAAACGAATGTACAAGTTGTACATGAAATACAATTATATTTACAAAATTATTACTCATTTTAAAACTACGATCACAACTACAATCATAAACTCTTTTTACATTATTTTATGACGTTATAAACGTATTTCTATTGAAAACGTACTATAGTCGGTAGCTAATATTAAATGAGCATGTGTAACAGTAAATTTTTTAGTTATTGCCCATAAAGTTAATACAGCGTTTCTTATTTTCATTTTCCGGCTTTGACTAGTACCTACCAGAAATTTCTTGTGCCAGTGCGCGTCCACGTCCTCGACCTCGTTGACCTTGCCTGCGGCCTCTGCCTCTGAAGCGACGATCTCCCACCCGATCCTCAAGAGGAACATCATCCACATTTTCATTACTTATGTGAATGATCATGGCTTCTCTTAGCCTGTTGTGACGAAATTCTTGATTTTCAAAGTTTCCACCTACACATGCATACATTAAAAATTTATGTTGTGAGAATACTACATATACGATTATTCTATAGAAATTTAAAAAAAATGAGAGCATTGTGTATAACCTTCTCCAGGATCCCGTATGAAAACACGTTGAATTTCTTGAATGAGTAGTCGAGATTCGGCAGCATCTTCGTGCAGATTCAATTATTGATAGGCTATACGTTGATCTTCGAAAGGAACTGAAAGAGTTATGGAAATAAGAGTATTTTGAAACGATACTCTTAAGTACTTTGACGGGGCGTTATAATTAACATATTTTTCCTGCTTACGTGATGGATAATACTGCAATCATCGCTGAGCAACAACAGTATACGTAGAAATTCGTCTACTGAAATTCTGTAGAACCAAATGTTTAAAAGTAAAAATTTAATTTAAGCATATATAATACTCGTACCTTGCAGTTCTTAACTGTGCCTGCAACTGCAATAAAACCAAATCATTCTTAATCTGAGTCACTGTTCGATTTCCTCTTAAAACTAGGTCATTTCTAATTCTTTGTAAATTAAGCGTTGCATCCACCATAACGTTTGTTAATAAGTCTAAAATAAAATTTTTACTGTTGTTATTAACATTAGTCGTGGTAAAATTATGATTATTTTCAGTATCGCTAGTTCTCTCATGTCTAGTGATTGGATTATTATCTCAGATGCTACCTCAATAAATGCTTGGATTGTTATTAAAATTTGGTTTCAACATTACACATACGATACTCTAAAAACATTAAAGTATCAATAAGTGATTTTACGACTCTTAACGTCACATTTCATTATGGAGTGTGTAAGGACGTACTTGAATTGTACAAGCATTTATTTAGCATGCATTTATGAGTCTTTTGATCGAGGCAATTCTTACGATCAATTATTCAAACTCATGATCTTACACATTTTAATTATTCTAATAGTACATTACAATAAAACACATATTTAAAATAAAATCACCTTAACATTTAACTTATGGTCACTCGATGATTGCCATAAATAAAATAGTTATAATGTTTTAATTATTTTAATTCTTAAAATAAGTATTCTATGAATGTTTTTGTGAAAATTTTCACATAGATCAGTGGTTCTCACAGGTACTCCAAACACAGAAACTATTGCTACTAAAGGTAACCAGGTTCTTCGTACGTATCTTACACACTGCTGCACGCGTCTACTCATAACTGGATTATCTACAGTTTCTTCAAACATGTCAGCCATGTTTTCAAGTTTCTCAACGCCATTACGAAACAGTTCTTCTGGTTACAGAGGAAGAGAAAGAGCTGTTTCTATAATATCGACTGCTACACATCAGCACAGATTCGCAGTTTGTTGCACCAATATTTAATCATGGCCTAAAACAAATGAGATAAATGTAATTTTTTACATGAAAATATACATTATATACCATTAATACGTATTTAAATGTAAAGGTACCTGTTTTAAATGGAAAATGCAACCTGAAATTCGGGCGTTAGGGAATATCACTCGAGCAGAATTAATTGCCGCACGTTCAAAGTCAATCATCAAACTATTAATATTAGCCAGCTCAGGGATGATCTCTAATATTTTTGTCCACATGGCATTATACATAGCTGTAGTACGTCAAGTACAAAGTACAAATATTGCTGGAAAACCCTATTGAAAAAAGTTTATGTTATCTTTATTTGAATGGTACGTACATTATAAGTAAATATGACTAATATAATACATTGTTTTCCACAAAATGAGAAATTTTATTCTTGCAGATAAAAATTATATTTATAATAGAATTTTGAAACAAAAAATTCAATAAATTTAATATTTTGTAAATTGGTCAAATCGATAAAAATGCTAAGTTAAGTTTAACGGAGCCAAATAAATCACTAATAGGCTTTTAAAAAGGTTCTCGTATGTACCACTCAAATTACTAGTCAACTGTTAGTATTTTTCATGAATTAGTTAATAATTTTTGAATTATTAGAATGTGATTATACAACTCACGTAATCAAGATTTCTCAGATGAATCGTGTACATCTGATTGATGTCGTTCGAAAGTCTGGGCAATACCTATTAACAAAAAATTAAAAAAATTAGATACATTTACAACACATTACAAATCGTTGGCTTGCATCATACGTGGATCTTGTATTCAAGAAAGTTGACAAAATGAGAGGTCTCTTGCAGGTTCTGACGAAAATAATCTTGAGTCAAACTTGTGTAAATTAAAAAAAAAAAAGCAATGTTGAATTTGTTGTTGTACTCCTCTCTTAGTTACATTGAGCAGGTTTATTGTTATGCCTAACTTTTAACATTTTTTTATTATATAACAGCGTACTTTGCATCGTACAATACTCGTAATATGAAATACCCAGAAAACTAGCAGTGTTGAGTAATTTTATCGAAATAATTTACACATCAACTATAGTTTATAGCATTTTGGTGCCGTATAAATGGCTACGTAGCTTAACAATAAACTAATAAACATCAATTACCTGAAATGTACCATCACAGCACAACTGTGTACATTGTCTCAATGCCTCTTCCATCTCCCTGTGTATAAATACAAGGGCACAGCCACCGTCATCTGACGTTGCTGAACCTCTGTAAATTTCATCAATTGGTGGATAGTTTGCTAAGACTGTGCCCAGCTCAGCTAACGTCTGTGGAGTTGGTGGCACATTTTCTCTCCGAGATCTTCGCATCTCTGTCATCAAACTCTCAATGCGGAAGTGTACTGCTACATTTTGAAATCTTACCCTGAAAATACAATATAAATTATACTTATTTGGCAAAACTATTTTTAAACTTTCGACATACTATCTGATAGAACTTATTAGGGATTGATATCCATGTTGATGTCAGTTTGTGAAAGATGGTGAAAAACATCATGGCTGTTAATTATGGAAAAAGTGACACGTATTATTAATTGTTAAATGTTGAGATTAAGTGGGCTGGACAACTTTTTTCTATTTATTAAGTATGGTAAACTAAGGTAATAGAGGTGTCGTGTAATTGAAAATACCATTGCTGACCTTAGACTTGTCAATTAAAAATAATGAATACTAAAAACTTAAACAACACTTGTATACATTTCTACCTTCACTGATAAACTGACATCTATAGAAAATTTATAATAGTGCATGATTTTCCAACGACTTCGTAGTAGTTAGAGAATTGTAAACGAAAAAAAAATTTGTGTATTTTATTATATAATTAGCATGTAATACTCCCATGAACAAAAATGTCTAGAATTTTTTATGAATTAATGTTTTTTTTAGTTATATCAAATGTCGTGTAATATTTTAAAATTGTTCATTAAAATTTCTCATAATGCAGAATGCAAAATTTGAATTTCTTCTTTCCATAAAAATGAATGTTATTTCATTAATCTGCTACAGCAACATGGAATAAACAGTACCCTACGCTAGATTGAATTTATGTTACTTAGGCTGCTACAAAGTCATCACACTGATTATCCGTGATTGTCTATGTTGGTCAGTCACTTTTGTTAAGTTGCAGAAAAATTAAATTACACGCTGTTTTTGAGTAAAATATTTGTGCAGTGACGAGTGACTACAGTAAGTCTCATAAGGATTTCGACCGCGGTCATGATGATAATTTAGATAATTTATTCGGTAGTCATTGAGGCCATATCCTCGATGCGTGTCATGCAACAATTTGTTTAAGGAGGCTTGGGCGATTTTGAATTAAATGCTGGCTATGTCTGAAATTCAGAGATTATATAGATAAAGTTTTCTAGATTTCCTTAGGAAAACAAAATAGGTAGGTCAACACATTTATTTTCGAGAAAATCGTGACCTTCAAGAACACTGTACGATAAAGGAATCGTTCTAGAAGATACACAGCACGTGGCGAACAAAAAACGCGAATTCAAAAAGAACCGATGGACCTTTGCTCCACAGCAGTTAACGTGAAAATGGCGGCGTTTTCAATTTTTGCTACTTGTGATTTTGGATATTTTGCAGGCTTAGACCTGCCGGCCGGACACCGAGCCAAATACTCCCTCCACCCCTACCTCTCCAATCACTTGTTGTTGACGTAAGTTGTACACGGAATACTTGCGCTTGCATCTGTGCTGTGTATCTGCACATTGGTGAGCCAATAGTCAATCACAAGAGAAGTAAAGTGTAAGACTGCGTTTACATGTGCGAAAAATAGGATCTTGCCGAATCAGAATAGCCCATAAGCCATCTTAGAAAAGAAAAAGATTCTCTTCGGCTGCTGTAAAGAATCTCTCACTCTCTCTCTCTCTCTCTCACTCCTACGGTGATTGATTGGCTGTTCTGATTTTGCAAGGTCCTATTCCACGAGCGAGTG